TCCTTGGCCTGCTCAACAATCTTGGCGCGCGTGGTACTCCAGTTGTTTCGCTCACTCTCCATGGTAGTCTCAAGTTCAGTGATCTTGGCCTTCAGGGGCTCCTGGTCTTGCTTCAAAGCATCACGTTCAGTTTCCAACTCGGTGATCTTCTCCTTAAGCTGCTCCATCTCAGCGGGGTCAACTCGTCCATATTTGGTCAGAATGCCCTCAGTGCGCTTCTGCCATCGGTCACGATCCTCCTGGATTTGCTTGATTTCATCCTCGAGGAAAGATTTCTGAGTTTTGAGCGTGTCGATTTCAGCCTCCAGAGGTTGGATACGGGCCTCCATCTCTTCAATCTTCTTGTTTTTCTCGCCGATCTGGTCCTTGAGCTGCTGGTTCTCGTTGCGCAATGTCATACTGCTTTCGCGGTAGATATTGAGCTCATTTAGCTTCTCCATGAGGTCCTGGTGTGTCATTGAAGTGCGACCACTCTGGGCAGCCTGTGTGCGTTCTTGGTCAAGCTTGAGACGTGCCTCATCTAGCTGAGACTGGGTATACTCAAGTTGTTGCTGGAGTCGCTTGGCCTCTTGAGCCTTGAGATCATACTGAACCTCAAGAATCTCCTTCTCTCGTCGGAGGTAACTGTTGAGTTCCCGGAGACCTTCGCTGGCGTCTCCCAAGGGAACTGGCGACATCCTTTCGTCCTCCTCTTCTCCGCCACTTCGCTTCTGCTGAAGCGCGGCAACTTGTGTAGTCAGGGCTTCTAGTTGTTGGTGAAGAATCTTGTTCTGGGAGTTGACATCTTCTCTTCGAGTCTTAAGTTCCGCCATCTCCTGCTCCAGCTGTTGTCGGCGTTCCTCCCAAGAGCTTTCGCTTTGAGCAAGGGTAACCTTTGCAGAGTCCGCTTCTGACTTGAGCGATGCGGCCTCGCTCTTGAGTGTATTGTACTCAGTTCGTAGTTGCTGAACAAGCTTAGCAGCCTCAGCATGCTTCACTAGTTCCTGCTCGTAGTCTTGCTGGGCCTTGGAGGCGATTTCAGCTTGAGCACGTAGATCTTGCTGATGGAAGCGAGTTGCGTCCAGATGCCTTGCGCTCTCCTCTTTCAGTCGGTTTACCTCCTCTTGTAATATGGACTTCTCATCCTCATATCGTCGTGCAACCTCACCCTGGGAGTCACGTAGGCTAGAAAGCTCGGTGTTAGAGCGAGACAACTCCGCCGACAAGTCCTCTGCACGCTGGCTAAGCTCCTTGATTTTCGCATCCTTTTCCTCAATGATGGCCTCCATCTCTTGTCTGTATTGTTCTTGTGATCCCCGCAGATCCTCAAGCGCTTCTTCGTTAGCCTGGCTAAGCTCTTTGAACTGCTCAGCCTGGGTCTTCGCGTTCTCGAGATGTGTATTGGCCATGTCCAAATCTCGCTTGAGGTCGGAGATCTCGACGTTGAGCTCCTGGATCTCGTTTTCGAGTTGCTGTTGTTGCTCGCTAACCTCAATAGTTCCAGGTCGGGGCGTAGGTCGGGGTTGAAGTCTTCCAGCTCGTTCCTCGGCGTTTCGTAGCTCAACCGTCAACTCATCAACGCGAGCCTGAAGGTGATCTCTGCTAGTCTTAACAGCGACATGCTCCTCACGAATCTGGCTCAGGCTTGCCATGAGTTCGTCAATTCGCTTCTGTGACTCCTTTGACTCAAACTCCTTCCTGAGTTGCAACTTTTTGGTTTCCTCTGCTTCATAAGTGAGCTTTCTCTGGGCGTCGCTCAGTTCCTGCTCGAGGCTTTCAATCTTGGCCTGCGCTTTGCGTCGGGCTTCCGAATCAGCCATGTTGCGCTCATTTTCGATCGATTGCTGAGTTGCTAACAAATTGTTGAGTCGATTCTTTTCCTCGATAAGGTTCTCGTTGTCCTTGCTTAGTCTATCCTGAATGTCCTTCCAAAGCTTCTTCTCCGCCTTCAGGTTCGCAGTCTCGTTGCGAACGCTATCAAGCAAACCTCTGGCTTCAATGAGTTCTTCAGCAACCTGTTGCGTCCGAATATCTTGCTTAGCAGCAGTCTCAGACAAGGTCTGAGCTCGCTTTTGAAGCTCGTGGTTCTCACTTTGAAGTGCCACAAAGTTTGTGTGCAACATTTCACGCCTCTCGGACTCAAGGCGGGCTTCGGCGTGAAGTTTCACCTTGTCGGTCTGTAGGCTGTTTCGTTCGGCTGACAGAGCATCTATCTGGTCGCGCAAATCCTTACGAACTCCGTCCTGCGCCTCGCGGTAGTTGTCGTATTCAGACTGAAGCTTGCGCAGTGCCTCGTTTAGAGCCTCGGTCTGCTCAGTTGCCTCAATGCTGGCCAAGGGCAAACGCTCGCCACCAGCAATGGAATTTCGCATCAAAGATGCCTCGTCACCGTGAATACCCCGTTGCTGCAAAAGTCTTCGGAACATATCACGCTCCGTCTTGAAGCTCTCCATCGTCTTCTTGATAGATCTTGCCTCCTCGGTCATGTGGCTAAGTTCCTGCTGAAGCTTCTCAACCATGTCGTGGTCTTGCTTGGCCTGGTGCTTCTCTGCAAGTGCTTCCTCGCTTTCGAGTTGATTGGCAAGCTCCCGAGTAATGCGAAGAAGCTCTTCGTTCTTGGCCTGCAGAGACTGAATATCCTTGAACACCACCAGCTTCTGCGTAATGAATTGGTGAGTGTCGGACATATCTGACAGTGCCTCCTCTGAAATCTCTCCTTTCTGTAGTTGTTGAAGTCGGAAAGTCTCTTCATCGGTAAGTTGGTCTGTACCCTTCTCCATGGCGTGGATCTGGAACAACAACATGTTTATCTGAGTACCAAGATCTCGAAGTTGAGTGCGCAGAATGTTTGTCTCAGATTGCGAAGTTGCAAGTGCGCTCTCTGCTTTCCTTGCTGCTCGTTTTGCCTTGTCTCGTTCCTCAAAGCTGTTTTGAGACAACTCTGACATTCGAGTAATCTCTTCACGAAGCTGTTCAGCTTCAGTTTGAAGATCTTGGATCTCGGGGGCCTTTGCTTCTAGAGCAGTCATCATATTGTCGAGCTCTTCAGAGAGCTGAGCATTGCGACGCTTTTCAGTAGCAAGTTGACCCTTAACTTGGTACAGCTGGTCAAGGGCCTGGGTGGTGGTTATCGCACCCTTGGCTCGCATAGACGAAGGTGTTGCGAATGGAGAGGAAGGTCGCATCAAGGAGCCGTTGGCACGGGGAGTCTGTGGTGCAGACTCGGGTGGTGGTGCGTGCTGCTCCATACGAGCCTGAAGCTCATCAATTTCTGACTGGAGCTGGTTAATGCGTTCCTCCATTTCACTCGTAGTCTGGCGCTCTTGCTCAAGCTCGGCTCGAACGCGTCGGAGCTCGTTTTCGTAGTTGTCGCGAAGTCGCTCTTTTTCGGCTTCAAGATCGTGCACTCGTTCTTGGTGTTTCTTGCTCAGCTGGTTAGACATCTCAACCAAACGTTTCTGAGCTTCAAGCTCATGCTTATAGCTCTCGATTGTCTGCGCAAAGGTTCCCTCCTGGTTCTGAACCTTCACCAAAGCTTCATCCGCCTTGGCTTGCATGGCATCGAGTCGATCGCGGAGCTGTTGCTCTGTTCTCTTTAGAGAGTCAACCTGAGATTGAATGTCTTCATTTTGTCGCTGGAGCTCGGCGATACGGGCGCCCTTTTCCTTTCGGTACTTGAGGCCCTCTTCGCTCTTTGTCTTGAGTTCATTCTCTAGCCATTCACTGTTCTTTCGGGCAAGATCGAGCTGCTGTTGTAAGGATTCTTCTCGGTACTTGGCACTATTGAGCTGGCCCCGTGCATTCTGCTCCGATTGTTGCAGGGCAGTGATCTCGCGAGAAAGCTCGACATTTCGCTGGTGCTGCTTCGTGAGTTCTTCGGTGATAGTCTGATCGCGCTTGTTGTTGGATTCAATAATGCTCAAGTTGGTTCGGTTCGAAGATTGAAGGGTCTCAATCTTGTCATTGAGGGCCTTGATCTCAGCATCGTAATCCGATTTCTTAGATTTGAAAACTTGAAGTTCGTTCTCGAGAGATTGTCGCTTCGTTTCTGTGGGGCAAGCGAATGTCAACAACCATCTGACTTCGTTTCGCACAGTCCATTAAAACATACCTTCGTCCTTGAGCTGCTGCCTAGCCTCTTCAACATCTTTAAGAGCCTTGTCCGCAGTAGCTTTGAAAGTTTGCGATCGCGTTTCAGAGCTGCGCACCGCGTTCTCGAGTTCAATGTCGGTCTGGAGCTTTTCAGCATAGAGGGTGTCAAACTCGTGCGCTTTGGCTGCAACAGCCTGCAGAACAATATTGACGAGCTCAACGGTCGGTTCTGTCGTTAGAGACGCGATAACAGGCTGGTCGAGGCCGAGGTGGCCTGCGACGTAGCCAATGTCCACGTCTGCGGCCGCCATGGTCGAGGTCGGATCAGGTCAATAGCGCGATACTCGTCATTACCGCAGCTACGCGCTCGAGGGGGAAAGCCAAGTAATAAAAAATACCAAGTCCACGTCGGTTGTCGCTTCGGTATGTGTCTATCAGATCGACAAATGAGGGTGAGACGTTGATGAAATTCTCCGACAAAGGAAATGGAGCCTTTGTTGTTGGAGAGACTAGGAAATTTGGAGCTCCAAAGCTGAGATGCAACACGCCAACGTTTGCTACTGGGGAAGCAACGAGCACGGGCCAGCTGCATGTGGAAGCTGCGTTTGTACGGCGCCCAGTTTTTCCGGCCACCACAGTCTTACCCTACACTTCTAACCTCAATCACAGGCCGTGTGTTATCATCCAATTATATTATGTATTTGTGGCAATGTAGAGGGGCTTACCTATGCATCTCTGCTCTCCCTGTAAAGAAAATTATTACAGAAAATTATGAACTACTCTTGTAAAGTGTAGCCACGTTGTATTGATTGATCGACTGCGCCTGCGGCCCATGAGTCTATAATCACCTGCATTCCTCACTCAAATCTGGGAACACAGGAACATCTGTACGACAATTCGTGCAACCGAACAAAGAGAACGGAAAACATGTCCGGTCACATAGGCCCGGCTTATATAAATGCAGGTTTCTGATAACATTAAAACTATAGATATATCTGGTATCCATCGACAATCCATGATTACATTACTCCTATTACCAAAAAGCAACCATAGCGCCAGCTTTTGAAGCCGTTAGAAGAATAGAGGAGATCGATATCCTTCTATCGACTTCGTATATTAGAATCCAACTCATAAGCTTCCACAGGCCCTGACTGAAAACCCATTCCATGAAGGCCAGAATATGCTGGCGCAGGACTCACCGGCGACACATATTCTGATTGTGCCGGTGAGTGCCCCCAGTTAGACTTGGCAAGGTGAGCTTGAAGCTCAGCTGTGGGTGCATGGTTAGGAGGAAGCTCTGAAATGCCCTGCCCTCCGCCTAGTTCCGGCTTGAAAGAAGTGGTCGATGACAATTCGGAAACAATTGGTGGTGCAGTGTGGCCCTTGATATAAGCACTATTGCCCATGAGCTCTGGATGTCCAGTATATTCTGGAGGCCCGTCGGCATTGTTGGAGAGCTCTTCGCCCTTGGCTTGACGTTGGCGCTTTCTTCGAATACAGAGGAATAGTCCCGCACCAAGAGCGGCCACCACGACAGCGCCAGCAACTCCCCCAGCGATCGGTGCGATACTCGTCTTCGATTCATCATCCTCTTTATCCTCATGGCCAGGATCAGACTCTTTCGTAGTGTTAGAACTAGAAGTTGCAGTTGCGCCAGCTGAACCAGTCATTCCTGGAACTGTTGTCCCTGAACCAGCTCCTGAACTAGCAGTCGGATATGACTGGAAGATTGATTGACTGACGGTAGCAACAACCAAACTCTCAGCGGCGCTGCAATAGTACCGAAAGACGTCGATGGCGGATGTGACGTTGGCAATGTGTGTGCTATCGCAGTAGTCCTTGACTCGCTCGGTCAAACTGCTAGATATGATCTTTGACATCCCTGATTTTATGCAGATGCATGAAGCCAGCTCTTGAGGACCGTTTCCACATAGCCAGGAGCTTTGCTGTACTGCTATTAGAGGCAGGGTCACATATTGAAACATTGGGACTCACCTCCATAACTGCAGAAGCTATCCCGGACTGGGCGCATTTGTTAAGAGACTTGAAATGCGGCATAGCTGTGATGTAGTATGACACTGACAGTATCAATATTCGAATGATTCCATGAGGCATGATTCAAGACTCACTATCTCCAGGAGGCCCTTTCGGTGGTGCAAAAGACGTTGTGCCGTCGTTCATCTGACAGAATTCGCTGTAGAAGTTCTGGGCCGAAGTGACGTCTCCGTTGTTAGAACATGAGTATTTCACGGCACTCTTAAGTGTTGAAGTAATATCCCGAACGACATCTTTCTTGCTACAGACACACGGTGCATTCAATTCGGCGGCTTCAGGGCACCTTGACGACCCCTATATTCATGTTAGTCAGGTCAAGCCCATATCACTGGACTTTGGAAGCTTTCATACAATATTGACCACGGCGTAGGATAATCCCGACTGCGCGCAAGGCGGGAGATACGCCAACTCAGGAAGATCTGTTATATATGCCTCGACGATATTCTTGGTTGGCGAAAAGAAAGTGATATGTTCCTCCTGGTTGCAGTATTTCTGCATCAGCTTAGACGCACTTGACAGATCCTCCGTCGCGCTGGAGCCGCAGCTGTATTCTATATCGGTCGAGATCGATGAGGCAACTTCGTCCATTCGAGTCGAGCAGATGCATTTCTGCAATTCGGTCTCTGAGTCGCCGCACATGGTCGAGTATGTCTGCATGCCGACATTGTATGAGATTGCGCTGGAAACACATGGCGCCTAAACAGTCAGTATTGCACTGGTGCTCTTTCCAGGTGCCGTACCAAGTAGGTAAAGATCTCGAGGTCAGTCACGTAAGAGACATCTTTTGCGGTAGTCAGGACAGCCAAGCCCAACAGGCCGATCCACGAGAGGCCGTGTAAGTGCTTCATTGTATCGACTAACACCATAACAAAAACACCGAAAAGCACAGAAAACAATGAAACAAAGATCCTCACGCTCAGCTGCGCACATTACAGCCGGAATATTCCGTCTCGAAAAGGAGCTCTTCATCTTGCCAGCAGCCAGGCTATACTGTAAAATGCCCTATTCTCCTGGTGTGAAGCCTCAAACAGCGCCTCTCGAGTCTAGATACAAATTGGGCCAGGACCCCTGAGGCTAGCTGAGATAGCCTGTACAGCACACCATCAGCTGCATTTCATCCCACCAACCGAGAGTATAGTGAGTCAGGTCCTGCATCTAAGCAAAGAATAGAGTTGTCTCATGCTTAAAGAGAAAACTACTCGGGTGAGACAGCTGCTGAGAGTTTATAAACGAAGTGTTTCATAGCTGAGGGTGCGTGCAGAAGAGGTCGACTCAACTATCACAAGACGTGGGCTTTTCTTAGCGCCCCTGGGCTGCATGCTTTTTGTTCGACCAGAGCAACAGACAAACGATTTAATTTCCCTTGAATAGAGAGGCTGAGTCTCACCAAGTTATATACTGAAACCAAAACTAGATGGAGATGGAATTATCCTTTAATATAGATCTCAATGTTTCATAGTTGATTCAGGTCTCACATGTTATTTAAAAAGGGTGTTTCGATGACCAAAACACTCATTCGTCTCAACTGGTGCCAGTGGAGGTCAAAGCAACACCTGAATTGGGAATGATGAAGACTTTACCCATCCCAGCCGGTGGATGCATACTCCTGATTTAGCTAGCCCCCGCGCCACACGGATAGTGACTGAAGCGCACCTCGAACCATTGGCTCTCCTGAAATGACCTCCAGGCTCAGTCGCTAAGACAATGCCAAGGATTGAATCACTGCATGAGACGAGTCAGCGACGAGAGCAGGCGACACGACAGCGCATACTGTGAATATGATGATCATTTGATGAACTGGTGATGGAATAGAAGGCGATCAACTGATGTGGTGAAGATATTGCTTTGCAGTCTCGATAGAGATTCCCGAACATGAGTCTGGCCAGGTCCCGTCTTGTTGGTCGCGGCAGTTAATTTTCCCTCCACCATGACGTCGACTTTTCCTTTCAATCCGATCATATCTCGATGTTGCAACGACGGATCTTGGGTGATGTCAGAATAGTGACGATCTAGCTCCAAGACAAGGAGTTTTCCTTGGTAGTGCTAATGGTTGTTGTAGACCTTCAAACTTTGAAGGTTGCATCAAGAGGAGCCATCCAAATTTTCACGTCGATCACTCAAGAATTGCATGGCTATGGAAAGTATCAAAATTATTTGGTAGATTGTTCGTTGCTGTACTATAGTAATAATAGGGTAGCTGTTATCCCTCAGCTGTGATATTGGTGGTATCCCGTAATCCGTAATTGTCCGGTGCCATTGCATGCATGTCCATAACGCCTTGCTAATACTCAGAAAACATGAGAAATCAATATATGGCTAGTATAGCGGTTGCTGCGAACTTTGCTAATTTCCCAACGCCCGCTTGAAAAAAGCAGTATAAGATCAAAGACAAAAAAAAATATTCGTAGAGTGGTGATGTGTAAGCGCTTATAGGACGCGCACAATCTTGGGAACACGATATCGCGAGGGGCTGTCGTAGTACTCGCTGATCATACCGCCCTGAAGACCCATAGGTCTCCGGGGAGGTAATCTTCCGTTGACACTCTGGTCTCGTGCGGAAGCTGTCTTGCGCGAGTCGCGGCTACGCTCACGCTGATCTTGTCGCTCTGAGGAGACTTGGCGAGAGCGTTCAGAATTATGTGTCTCAGAGGAAGATGTCCTGGAACTGGCGCGAGATCGGGATCTTCGAGGGCTTGCGTGATCCCAGCCAACGGGCTCTTCTGAGATTTCGTCGAGGAGATCATCATCGCTGTCCTCCTCGTCGCTTTCAGGGTGGAAGGTACTGTTAAGTGTCTCCCAGAGATCAAGACCAAGATCGTCCCAGATGACGACGGCCTTGAATAAACGACGGCAGGCTTGTGTGCCAGCAGTCTTGTCGAGCCTGGCAAAAGACTCGAGCTCGCCTAGGCTAGGTAGGTTCTCCCAGGCAATGGAGATCTGATCGGATTGGTCCTTGAAGGGGGATCGCTCAAGGTAGTAGAGGAGGAAGTCTGAAGTTTCGGCCTTGGTTGCGAATTCAGCTTCCTCGAGAGCCTGTAGGCGAAGCTTCTCTTCTTTGTCCTTTTGCTCCTGTTCTTGTTGCTGCCTCTGCTTGCGTCTCTTGGGTACACCAAAGAGTGGGACCTTGGGGACGTTGGAAGTAGTTCCTCGGAGCATCGTTGCGGTGTTGTGAGTTGGTGTTGACTAGGGAGGTATAGTAAACGTTTTCGAGGTGCCGTATTGGTATATATGGCTGAGCCAGGTCGGATGATGAGCTGGAGGGGTAGGAATGGGTTGTTGGTCGACGGGGAAGCAAACAAGACAATATGCGTGTCAGGTTGTTGCTATTAAAGGATGTTTATGCATGCGTATATTGCAAGGCGAGAGCACAAACAAGACCCAAGCTTGTTAGACGTTTCAAGAGACCAGCTCGTCGAAGCTTTTGGATTTAGTACTGCTCTTGGGAGATACAGTTGGAAAGCAGAATGTCTTGATGGGAAGAGCAAGATGGGAAAAGTTGAAGTGGTAGGGGTGCTGGCAGATGGATATATGAAGAATTGGATTGGATCGAAATGAATGACACCCTGGGCCTTGTTCCTGGTCCTTTTTGTTTGTCTTTTGTTGTGCTGCGTTGACTAGCCCGGGACCGGGGGGTGTAGGTAAATGTGATGAGGATCCGCGGCTATTTTGGTGGCAGAGGTGAGGTAGCCCAAAGCCCGTGCTTGTACTGTAAGGCACTGTAATAGGTGGTAATTGTATTCTCGGTTTCGGAACTTCGCGGATTGGTTGGTGATCGTGAAAAAGAGAGATCAGCGCGTTTGAGAAACGGGGGAATAGAGGATGCTTTTAATATTATTGTTTCTGGCTGCTTGCTTTTTCTCTTCCGACCCCTTGGCTCGTAAAATCTACTCCTTTCAGGTTTAACTTGGTTGCTTTAGGCTGGGCTGGGCTGGGCTGGGCTACCGCAGCCTCAGCCATCAGCTGTAGGCACCTCTAGTGCAGGTCCGTAATTCCATCTACCAAAAACGCCAGAGCGGATCCGTGTCATCATCGAGAGGCTGCTGGAGACCTGACCTGGAGGCGCCCAGCCTGGGCTTGCTCTGGCTAATTTAGTCGCAACGGTGTCGGCGTAGGTGAGTGAGTTGCTCACTGTCCTGTATTGTAGGTACGAGGCCCAGCCAGTGCACAGTAGGTACCGACGGAGTTCTGCTAAAATGGTCACCCACTGATTTTCCCCTTGTCTTTCCCAAAAGTCTGGTCTGCCAAGAAGAGAAGCGAGTAAGGCGCACCAGTCACCAGAGCAGAAGATCCCAGCAGAGTGAGGCATCAGCGGGTTTACCTGAACCTAGGTACTGTAGCGAGTTTTGATCCTTGTCCCGTTTTTCTTTCATTGTCTTTCCGATGCATCTGATTTCTGGTTTGTCTCATCCCGAGTTTGGGGGTTGTTCACGAGGATGCTTCGTGATGATCAGTCGAGAATTCTATTGGTTTCGAGACGATACAGTACGGTTACGAACAGACGGTTCAACATTAGCCGGCTGGAGGGGTGCCAAAGCCAAACCGTACAGTAGATCCAGAACAGAGGCTATTTGCTTTTCCTCAGCTCCCGCTCAGCCCTTGAACTGTTGAAATGAGTTGTCTTGTCAACGTTTGTTCATTTGATTTGACGTGGCTGTCAGACGGTCCCTGATCGGCATGTGAGTTCGCCGAACCCTAACCCAACATCTTACGAGCTCGGCAATGTCTCGTTTTGCCGGGCTGCGGGTTAGCTCTTTACCAGAGGAATGCGGTACTCGCTCGAATCACCGCTCTCTTCTCTTGTATTGTCTGTCTCGCCTTTCTATTGTGAAGCTTCCCATCGTAAAACGCGAGGCGTTGCTGCTCGTCATGACTCTCCCCTAATTCTCCGCGGAAGCCGAGTGACCGAACGGATACTGTTCTGTTGAAACCAATGTTTGCTGCAGCCATTACGGTCTTGGATGCCTAATTGGTTATCGCGAGCAGAGACAATAAGACGCTATTTCTGTTAGGTTCAGCAACATCAGGATTATTGTGAGCGTTCCGTGATTCCGACTCCGTCCCGTCATTAGTGTCAGTACCCGCCAGTTCCTAGTCTCCGTTGCAGTACGATCCCGCCCGTGCGAAGGAGCAGTCCTGACCTGAGGATGATTGAGATGGATGGATGTACCTGGCCGGCCCGTCAAATGGAGGCACAGACACAGATGGACATGTCACGCCAGCCAATACTACTGCACCCTAGGCATCTCGCACGGTTGGGGCACCCTTGGGATTGCTCATGATAGGTCGGCTTCTGTTCCGGAGGCATAAATGGGACAAGGCAGGGGAAGAGACGAGACGAGGCGAGACCCCAAAAGCAAGGGACAAGTACTTTGTAACAAGCCTGAGCCAGGAGAGAAAAGAGAGGAGAGGGAGCGCTGAAACGCTAACAATTGGTAACATTCCCCGTGTCCCAGGAACCCGGAACGAGAACGACAATCTGCCTTTTTCCCGACATCGCAAACTAGGCCCTATCCTGTCGAGTAACTTTCTCAATGTCCAGTGTCTACGCAATCAATCAATGAGCCGTGAACGCCAAGGCTTTGAAACTGTAGCCTCGTTCTACCACGGCTAAAGCCATTGAGGTGCAACTTTGTCCTCAACAAGTACACTATGTGGCACTTGACTCGTCAAACTCGCGTTGAGGCTTTCAAGTGCCTATTCAGAATCCACTTCTGGGCACTCCCGCTTTGCTCGAACCAGAATGCGATCAGCAAATCCCCAGCTTGTGCCGCGTCTAGACTCCCAGACTAGACTTGTCCCTCTGAAGCTATCCCTAGCTATTCTTTCACGCCAGTCATAGCTTGTATCTTTAGATCAGATCAGATCAGATGCACAAATAAAACCTCAACCAACAAGACTGTTGGAGTCCACAGCACGAGGCGTCTGTGTTTACGAGTCCACCGCTTTTCTTATCCCACTGAACTACCGATAACTGTTTTTTACAGGCGTATTCGAGGCTTGCTCGTATCCCACAAGACATCACAATGTCGAATGGCCTTCTCATACCGCACCTTGAATGAGCTACCATGACTTTTCGCCCGGACTCTGTCCGTAGTCCAAACCCTCCACTTCGGTCCGTGATGGGGATCGGAGGCTAACCCACACGACGGCTCCGCGGTTCCACGCAATCCTCCGGTGACGGAAGTACCTGAGATACCTGTGGCTCGAAACAGTGACATCCCATGAAACCTTCTCTTTTTCTTCGGTCTCCCCAGACTCATACTTTTTCCATGCCTCATCTGACGGCATATACCTTAAGTGCGCTTCCGCCGAGAAGGAAGAAACGTCCAGAAGGAAAATCTGCTTGGGGTTTGCATACGTAGTACATTCTCTACATCTTCTGTCAAAGTCAAAAGGTGCGGCTACATTCCAACCCTTCTCTTCCGCGCAACTTCTACCCCGAAGAGGAATCGCCTCTCGGGCAACTCGTAAATCCCCCAGTCCGAGGGCGACAGCTGCGGCAGCGGGTAGATGAGGCTCCTAGCCAAGATTAAGCAGCCGTCAAAGCTGTCATGGAACTCAGCAGTGAGGCTTGTGCATTAGGCTTTGAGTGTGACGTCTATTCAGAGATGTTTTTCGGTCACTGGATGAGGGAGTGTAAGGATTGTGGCTGAAGTCTCTTTCTCCCTGGACAAACTCTCACTCAAGATCAGTAAACAAAATACATCGAGGGTCTGCTCGTGGAATGAAATCAGATGTCTCATGGTCTTGGCGATCAGAACAATGCCGACCAAAAGGCAATCGACTCTATTGTCATCTCTTTTAAGACTGGTCTCGCTCTTTCGATGTTGTCCCTGAGAGCCGATTAAGATCAGACAAAGCTTGGATGGACTATGACCAATAGCACAAAGCAGGCACAGGTCCCTTAAATGGGCAATTTCAACGTGATTGAATTTTGCAAACTCAATTTTGCTCAGACTCTATTCCCATCTTCAACCTCTGCAGCCTTAACAAGGGGTGTATCACATACCCACAGACGTTCATGGCATGTTCGGCATAAACATTGTTTCTCTTAGCTGTTCATGCAAGTCAAAGCAGACACCACCATACCATCCGTGCGAACCATCTCTGCCCAATGTCTGATCTACCCGTCTAATTTAGGTAACATGATCCTCCTCTATCCTCATAGACCCGTGCTAACAGCTGCCTTGTCGATCCAAGACCCCAGAATCTGGTAATTAGCGTGCGCCATACCAAAAACCGCCGCTTTCTATGGCCCCGAAATTCGCGGCGGCATGGTTCTGTGCAACCAAGCATTCAAAGTTAAAAGCCTTATGCTAAGCGGACTGGAAATAAGAATTACTTGGGCTCGTTGAGGAAAAGACTAATGTAAGCACATCATACTATCGAAATGCCTTGCTATGTTGACGATATTGAGAAGCAACTTTTTTCGGACGCCGGAGCAAAGCTGGCGACTAACGGCCTTATTGGAGCATCGAGACATTGCCAAGAAAGAACTAATGAATACTAGGCATGTCCTTCGAGGGAATGAAGAGTCCGGGCAAAAGCTATCTCTCGAAATGCTTCATATGGCCATCTCGAGAGGAAGATCTTGGGGTCTTGGCAGCCAAATCAAGAAAATGGCAAGGAAATTTTTTCCATGGATTAAACTGATGGGCTTGACCAAAGTGCTGGGGTTGATGTTGATGGGTCCTTTAGCTTCCAGGCCAAGGGTTTGGATCCAATGTATGGAGTCTTTACCAACAGACTTTGCTAAGTTCCTGCACGAGGAACTCAATATTGACAGCAACTATCAAAAATATCCTGGAATTGTCGCAAAAGACTCACCAAGAGACGGAGTTCTTGGCTCTTGGCAATAATTTTATATCACTCTTCTCATCTCGTGTAGGGCACATCGAGGAAATCACCATGTGGCTTGATTACCCCAAAGCCTCCTGAAGGCTCAGGACTGGATCTCCGAGGAGCTTCCCCTAGAAACAACTCAACGACGTGCAAGAAAATGCACATGATTTTGATGTAAGGGGCTTGGTGATTTCTTTCTGTTCGAGAAATCAACCGGGGAGTCGAAGGGGCGAGACTATAGACATGAACTAGTGGGTATAATATAACATGCTGAACACTGTCGCAATGTAGTGTCTTTGGATGGCCAGAGAATGGCCAAGTTCGGGTATTTTGAATATCGAGGTATCTGATTCAAATGTTGTAGTATTATCTTTGAAGCAATAGCAATCTGTGGGAGGGTTTGAGTGACACAGTGATGTTTGCAAAGTTCTCCACTAGGTAGTTATGTCCAAACGACAAAGCCCAATATCAAGTGTACAAACAACCGCAATAGTGAATGAGCCGTCCGATTATCATACTCCGAGCCTGGAAGTGGAATATATGACATTCCCTTGCTTTCCTGACATAAGCCAATAACTACTTTTGAGATGAATGGACTCGAGTCCATTTCCAGTTCCAAATCTTTTCATGGAAGCTTTTTACGAATACTATCCAATGTACATACAAGTATACACCACTAGATTTGTCTGGAACTGGTCATTTATGATGTTGAAAGTGCTAGATTGGTTGGCAATGTCGACTGTGAATGCCCTCAATTCCCATCAGTGGCAGCCTGGCTGGCACTGCCATGCAGCTGCCAGAGCACTTCCAACTGATCGGTTGCTGGGCAGTGAATTTACATCGACATTTTAAAAACAGGCAGTCATTTATTTTATTTTCATTTCATCAAACTTGCCTGCTTCGATTCCCCATTGTCGCCCATCTTTCGCTTTACTTCACAACAGTCTTTAATGAACTACTGTACTTTATCAACTGTATCCCTTCACCAACTTCACCAATTCTACCACAAAAATCTCAAGTAATCACTGATATCAACAAAACTCAGTCACCATGCTCTGGCGTCGCTCCCGTCTCACCTATGACCCGAAGCAATTCCCCAACTACCGCCCTTACCCCGAAACCGGTTCCGAGCGCCTCATCAAGGAGTGTCCGAATGTATTTCATTTCATTGCCTTCACAATCAGATTTCAGATTTCTATTTTCAGTATCATTCTGGAGTGGTTCTGTATGATGCTTCGCAGTCCCCTTCAGTACTCCAAGCACAACGATTGGATCCTCGACCACTACAAGGCAAGCCCTACTGCTTCTCACATGCTCTGGGGAGCCTTCATCACTGCCTGGTCTTCTCACTTCATGTACCGTATCGGAAAAGCAGTTTGCAAGGTGATTATTGATGCCTATGACGATCCTGTGTGGGCTCTTTACGAGATCTGGGATCTCGGAGTATACTCGCAGTTCTTTCTTATCCGCACCATCTTTTTCATCCTGACTACCATCTTCAACTTCGTTTGCTTTTGGGCTATCTTCCTCTTCAACATGTCGACATACTCATTCGTCGTCTCCCTCGCCCTGCTCGGCGCTGTTGCCATGTGGCAGCTACACTATTACTTTTTCGTGTACAGTCCTCAGGAAGTCACTGAGGAGGTCTCATACCAGTCCCCTGAGAAAGAAGTTCTTTGTACACCGGACAGACCAGGTCGCTGCTTTCGAGCACCTACACCTTCTACTGGGTCGTCCACTTCTTCCTCCCGATCATCGCCTGAGCATACTCCACCTCACCTTCGACCCCGACCATCAAACAAACCCCCTGGCGCTGCATACGTCAAAGTATCTCCCAAAGCCATACAAAAGCTTCATGACGAAGGAGTCTTCGTCCCAGAACCCACCAGAGTACCCGACTACTCTTATCTGGAACCCTTCGCTGGAAAACGCCCTACTAACTTCAGCCGCTATGATGCAAAGAGGCACTTCCGAAGAGTTAGAGAAATCGAGAGGAAGAAAGGCATAATATCAAACAGCCCTGACCCTTATAAAGATGATCCTCCCTCTCCTACCGTTATTACAAAGACCGCGTGGATTTATTCCGAGATGGATGCTGTCAACCGACGGCTTCGATTCATCACAGAAGATGTCACCGAGATGAACATGCTGGTTAACACCTTCAGAGAAAAAGGCAGCGTCCGGTCTCTTCCCGACGCTTCACCCGCGATACCATTGTCGCCCCGAACCCAACGGCGAAACGCAACTCTCGCTGAGAAAGATCGCATCGGAGAAGTCGTTATTGATTATACACGTGAGATCGACTCCATCTCATTCCGTGTCTTCAGTCACAAAACCCGCACTGAAGAGGCGCTGAAACGCATCGATCGTCTGGTTGCCCATGCAGGCGATGCCGCTTCCCGCGCGATTCGTAAAGAGGTGGAAGATTGCAGAAGCCGTGTTGATCTCGCGTTCGAGGGCGCGGAAGCGGCAGTTATGAGCTCTAGTGGAATTGCAGACCTTTGCATTGATCGAAAAGTGAAACTGGAGGCCCAAGCCAAAAAGTTACATCGTATGGACCGAACTCAGGCTAGGCATCCTAACATTTCAATCATTGATGACTACTATGGTTGATTACCACCGAGTTTTTGACTCATGTTTATCGACTAAACGATTAGCAGAGTGCTATTGATTACATATACACCGCGGAGAGCACTTGAAGATTGAGATTTTGGAGTTCAGGATTATACCTTTTGCTTTGCTACACATAACAGAGAAACCTGCATGATTGACTACGAAGTCGGGAATATAATACCTTGGGTTAACTTTAAGTATAACGGTCAGAGTTGACCATTTAGGAATGAATTCGATGATTAATGCCATAATGTTTGTTGATGTTCCTAAAGTGATCTATGTCTCGAATCATCTATGATGCTAATCGTTGTGAGAGACCTACCACGACAGTAACTCGTTTATCTATATTATCCACGTCGCCTACGTGTAAATGAGTTCTTTCTCTTGAGTTACTCTGGTTATGGTAGGTGGCTCACGATAACTAGAAGACGCAGTCCAACACATTCATCTCGGAGGCGAGTGGCCGCTTCTTGAGATGCCCTGCCTTTGCAAATCGGACGGGGCCGGGAACTCCGGTCTATAGGAGTTGGCGTTATCGAGGGGCAAGCGAAGTAAGTCGTTGAGGGTCGTGGTGGTGTATCGTAGCGATAAGAGACCGGGACAGAAGCCAGAGCCAGAGCCAGAATATGTTCTGATGAAACTGTCTAAACAAAGGAAACGGTGCAAGAGACACCTTGAAACTATAAGTAAGGTGTATGGTGGGAGTTCTGTAACTACTGGCTTTGATGGAAGTGATGCGAGCGACATATGCAATCCTCAATGAAGATGACGAGGTTGCCCTCAACCACCGGGGCCGGATTCTAATGACTTGAAACTGATCCCTCTGAAAGATCCTTCTCGGTGGTAACCTATCAACTACTCATCTTGAAAATGTCAGGATACGAGAACTGCCAAGGCTGTTGATGCAGGACTGTGATGCCACAGACAATGAGAACTCAGTGAACGGGTATAATGGCAACATGATATTGACTTGTACCATTATCGAATGATACGTCCGTTTAGAGAGGCGAGGAGAAGAAATATGTACGCATTGTGGCTATATCTTTACTTGCCAAATCCTCTGTGAACACCTGGGTATCGCACATAAAAATCGCATCTCGTCGTCAAGACAGTTCCAGAACTGATCCTCCAATAAGTCCTTCATGTTAGAAATTTCCCACAAATCCATCGACCGAACAGATGATCATCAAGACCACCGAGCCAAATCCAGCTAATAACCAGCAGACTCAATACCATGAACCTGCCAGTAAAGACCTCCCTTCTTCCCAGCCTCATCAGCAGCACACTTGACAGATCCACGAGCCGCCATCTCCGTTCCAGCAGAGTACTCAAGAACGGCCTTCTGCATAATCCAAACCACATCATCATCGCCGACCTTTAATCCCTTGTCAGCGCGCACAGCAAAGGCGCACGACCCGGACTTGACGATGTTGACAAGTCCATCTCCCACGCCGTACTCTCGCTTGTCGTCGGAAGCAGCGGGGACGCTGAAAGTGCCGTTACGAGTGCCAAAGGTTGAGAGAAGCGCTGCGCAGTCCCTGTAGTTGGCTCGCTTTGTGCTCTTGGGGGCCTGGTGCGCGTTGTAAGTCTTCTTGTCGCATGTACTGAAGGAGTGGTTTCCAGCAGCCCAGTAGGTGTATGGATCTTCGTAGGCGCTGGGTGCTGTGGTTGAGACGGCGATCATGTTGTCTTTGGTGGGTGTGGCCGTGGGCGCTGCGGCTGCAAGGCCGATGAAGACGGCGACAAGGTTGATGAAATGCATCTCGACAGTTGATTTAGCGGGCGGAAAGAGAGTCGAGAAGTTTGCTGAGAAAAAGAACGGATCGTAGTGAAGAATAACGGACCAACAGGTGATCAACACCTATGTTAACGAGTGACTGAGAATGGGAAACGCTGCGCTGCACTGCAACGAGGAGGTTGGGAGAGACGTTCAACAGCAGTTAGTTGACGGAGGAGAGAAAGAGAATTATACCCAATCCAGGTGGGAAAGTGGGATGTTTAGATGCGATCACAGGCGGAGATGGTAGTGTTTCAAGTAGAGTGGATGAGTATGAAACAAGGATCACAATATGCAGCGAAGGTGGTTTATTTTGAGCGACATTTTGGAACCAGATTGATTAGACTCGGAAAAATTAGTGCTGTTTTGCTTTTAAATATATTGAGTCGTTACGAGTGAAACAGGGTGACGGGTTGTGTTTGTTTAATTGCGATGATCATACCGGAGGATTTGGTGTTTGTTTTCCGTTTTTTGATGGGGACGATGTTTCGAGCAAAGTGCCATATTCATGCCGAGATCAACGCGTATAGGTATAGGAAAACGTGTGATTGGAAAGCGATTAGGGGGAGTGAAACGAGCGTCTATATATATATAAAAGGAATTATATGTGATGATCAACCATATGATCCTGTATTCTTGGAGTTTAATTCGCTGCCAATAAGACTGACTGAGCGCAGGACCATAGCGACAGTGTATACGCTTTGACTATCACTATGTCTCTCTTGAAGTCCTCGAAAGAAACTAGCAATTGTCTTTTTCTTTGAAACGCTCTATCTTTTGTGCCTTGGCTTTCTCCCATGCGCATAATTTACAGCCTCACATCGAGTCCAGATCAGCACTCTCAATCTCCAACCTCAAGATCAAAGGTCGTTGATCAATACCAATTTCACATGATAAAAAACCTGGTCACAACTGCCGTCAAACTTGAATATCAGGGCCTATACCGTTACAGTAGGATTTACCTCCTTGCAAACTTAAATACCCTTCCTTGCAATATCTCGTGATAGAAACTATTGAGTTTCTTGTCTCTCAGTAACTCCCCCGGGCCGACAGTGGAGAAGAGTGACGCTTCAGTGGATTGAGAGCCCCCACTCCCAGCGGTTCATCAACCCCGGTCTTGGAGATGATGACGCGAGGAGCATTGGCCAGTGATAGAGCAATTCGTTGGTTTATTTGTTGGGTGATGTTTGTACTCTCAATATGACTTCATATTTCGTGGATCTCTGTCTCAAGGCAGCCATGAAAAAGTCTTGGCCAGGCAGTCTTGGTCTTGGTTCATGGTCACTATTTCCTACGGCATAAGGGTTGATTACGCTAATGTAGAAAAAAATGTCATTTCCAGCATCTTGACCTCGTTATTCCCAGACGTCATTGTCTCGGCCGATACAATACTCAAATATGACGGTTCTTCAGACTGTTGCTCGTTCATCGAATTGACCCTCTTTATTAAGCCCGTCAGTATCCATATTATCCCCCATCAACTCCTGGGGTCATCATCTTGGCTCCGTCTTGGCTCCACGTCAAAATGATCCCCCAAAAACCTGTATCATGGACTGCTCGGTTCAGGTGACCCCTCCAAGAAAAAGGGCCGTTACCACGATGATGGAATGGCTCTGATGATCGTCGGAACTCGGCTGAGGGTGAGTGAGACCCTTTCTTTTATTTTTTTTTTACTCGATGTAACTCTCAGCTCGTCGCTTGACTCGATTCCCGAGCCCCGATGAACTGTTCTTGTCCCGTCTAGTCCTAGCTAGGGGTATTATCGGCCCCCCAGTTTTGGGATCATTGCCAGTTCCTGATATCATCGTCATGGCCTATCAATGGAATGGTCTTAACTAACATTGTCAGACCAGCTGGAAGAAGAAAATACTGTGAGGGACCTTGATCATTTTCCATGTTGTGTGATTTCTATCCATTGTAAACTCCATCGCCCAATCTTCTCTTCATTGTTTTTCTCTTCATATCATACTCAGCCATCACCTTCATCATGAAAACCGCTTCACAGCCTTCAGCTCCCCATAGCGCAACAAGCAAAGTAAAGCGGCTCGTCGGCAAAATTCGCCGCCACTCACATCCTCCATCCCCTGAAGCTTCCTCAACATCTCCCTCATCATCCGCGAACCCATCTCGCGAATCTTCATCATGTCCTATTCCACATATCGGCAAACATAGCCAACGCCAGAGTCGCCGCGGATCAGCCTCAGAGGAGGAAGAGCGCGCTCACGATCTTGAACTCTGGAACGCAGCATACGATGTCCTCAAGCGAGATGGCACGTCTTCGGGTCTTGTGCTCGCATATGAGAGCATTGTTTCTCATGCACTTCCTGATACTTTGAGGCCGGGGCATAACGGGAATGGGAATGGGCTGCCGACAGAAAGTGAGAGGAGAGCGGAACTCATGATGATGATTGCAAAGTCTGGTTTAAACCGCGAAGTTAAGGAGACGTCACAAACAGACTCGGGAGATGTTGAAGCAAGAGAAAACCTGATTCATACAAGGTCGACTATAGCTTCATTGCTCGATGACCAGCCCAGCGCCGCCGTCGCTTGGGCGGGCTTCTGCTCACTAACACCAGTAGGGTGCGACCTCAACCCATTGAACTACAATACTAATACCATCAATAGCTTCTACTAGAACCTCTTCTACGACATGAAGATATCCGCCAGGGGTTTGTGCATATTGCACACACCATTCCTCACTACATGACCCTCCATCGCGTCCTACATCCATCATCCTGGACCTCACTGCCAGAGTTCCAACGTCAACAGCCGCAAGTCCATCAGACTCTTCTAACACTTTATCGACGCATCCTCGAATACGAGATGAACATTGTCTGCGCCGCTGCGAGCGCCTGGAACATGGCTGCTCGCAACGTCGTCGATTGGCATGGCTGGAAGGCTATGGCTGATGCTGTGCGAGACATGGATGCTGAGTTGATGGGCTATGTCGAGAAGAACGGCACAGATGAGGCTAGGGCGTTGATGGAGGTTCAGAGGAAGTTGGAGCCTGAAGGAGGAGGGCGTGGTGAGTTACAAGACGATACTTCACCTCCAAATGCGTAAGAATACAAGACAAGTCAACAATGAAGGGGGCATTACAAGCAAGGTCGTTTTCTATAAAGTCAATTTCAATCGATTTACCCAGATAGCCAAATCTGCAGGTTTCCCTTTTCCCCAATCCAGACTCCAGACTCCATGCTCCGTCCTTTTGACCAAGCCAGTGTAGGATTTTGCTTTTCTCCTTTAGCCAAGTCGCGATCAAATCAACCAGTCTATCCCACCGACCAATTACCATACACCCAAAGACCATCATGCTCCGGTTCTGCAAGAATATTCGTTTAAAACGCCCCATTTACTGCCCAATATTTTGAAGGATACCCTGCTTGTCAAGGTTGCTCAGAGTATCACCGTACTCATTGATATGTCGCTGCCAGCGACTGGCATCGCCCTGGAAGCCAATCGCCCCCAACATGGCTGACCATCCAGGCATCTGATCACGGGTCACAAGTTCATATACACGACAGAGGATTTGATGAAATCCCACCTGAGGTCTCATCGCAACCGCGTACAAATGTCGCACCAAGTCAGCCCAGCCGGCAATAAAGTCGACGTCAAACGTGGACTCGGGGTACCGGAACTCGATAGTGTCGTACTTGGACACAACCAGTGCACAGCGGGTGGTTGTGTGAAGGGATCCTTCATCGAATTTTCGGAGTGCGATGCCCAAGCTAGCCAGGCTCGTTTCCGACCACAGGCGTTTCATAGATCCCAGCAGACCTCTGTCAACTTTCTTGCGCCAGTGGAGCTGTCGCATGACCTCTCCGAGTGCTTCAACAAGAGCTGCGCCCTCGCCGTACACTGTTGGTTCACCCCTTTCCATGGCGATTCGAGATTCAACGCTGATACGCGCCGAGTAAGGAGAAGTCGAGCGGAAGGGATGGCACAGAGGGTACAGCAGAGTATCTTCCAGCAGCCAGACTAAAGATGCAAGGCGCAGCGCAGTCTCTAGCTGCATGCTGCCGGCGTCGTTGACGTGAAGGTGTAGTCCACAGCCAGAATTGAGTCCAACTACCATGCCGCCCTGCACTGCCGCAAGGCACTTTCTTAGGGTAGGTAGCCCCTGACTGAACTCTTCAGGCCGAGTGAGAATAGGGCTGTTGAGTTCAGTTCCATACCAGTCGTACTTGTTTGAAGGTGTCATTCCGGACTTACTAACGCAGTCTCTGGTGATGTGACGCTCTGGAACAATGAACCAAAAATCAGTCTTGGACACTGGTCCACTAACAGACTCATTATTCCAAGCTCGAATGTCTCCGCTATTATCTGTGAGCGGAAGAATTGCAGTGCCAGGTATCTGGGCAGGGCTGATAGGCGAAGGAGGTATGAGGCTACACGAGACGGAGACCCCGCTGTTGGCGATCAATTCGCATACCTTGTGAATACAAGACGGCTCGATGTCTTTGTAGTCTCCCATCACGAGGCCTAGGAAAGCTTCCGGCGTTGTAGGACAGGCCCATCGAGCCTCACCAGTCACGGCGTCGGAGTTTGGGATCTGCAGTGCAACCATAAACTCCAACTCGATACCGACACTTATGGACTGCGGTATCGGCATGCTGGGCTCGGGGGATGCAGGGATCGCAGGGGTCTTTTCTCGACGGCGAAAATGCTTATCGACCTGGATGTGATGATAGTTTCTCAGGGACGAGAGCAGAGATGCTGTTGAGCAGCCAGAAGAGGCTGGAGCCCCTAATGGGTTACGATTCATAGCAGACAGTTCCATAATGAACAATATGAGGTGAGTTGAGGACTCAAGAACAATTCGTGGTGTTCACTCTTATATATTTGCGAGGCAAAGAACATGGCCGCAAAGAAAGTCAGTGCGTCGGTCATGTAAGGAGAAGGGACGGGACAGAAAAGTAATCTTGACTCGCTCACCGAAGGGCGGTCAAGGTTTAGGAATTTGAGGCTGTGAATGAACTACCTTTTTACATGTGCTTGCTGAAAACTCTCCCGCCGAACAAGCTTCTCAGTATGAACTCTGCTGTCGAGTAGTTCGGCCACTAACCAGCACAGAACAGCTCAATTCTTAACAAGCACGATAAGGTGATCATGGTTCTATTCATAAACTAAACATTCGGTAACCTCAATCATGGTAACAACATAAGCCATTCAAAAACCCTTGGCTTTCGACTGGGCAATGAACAGAGTGACACTTGTCTCTCAAAAAAGAGTCTGACCGGTCCAGAACGTGTGATTTAGAGGTATCGGGAGTGGTAGGGCGATCCTTGCACCCAATCTTTTGACATAATGCCAGGGGTGAAGATTGGGTGAGATCTACACCTTAACGTCAAAAAGCTTGTGAGTCGCGGAGAAGCACTCGAGAGTCTCGTGATTTTGAACGTGGTGGTAGGTCCAACGTGTTGGTAACCCACCTTTCAGCCTGTTTTGAAACTAAGAACATGATTGACTGATTCGTCTTATCGTAGTATTGTGCCATTAAAATGTGTTGAACAAAGAGGACTCGGTGAGGAATAGTTGACTTACACGAGGAGGAAGTGCAGCAAGAGTCGGCGCATCAACGTTACTCCGCAACGACCAATCATTAAGCTGCGCGGCATTTGCTAGGAGCTCGAAAAGAAGATGCCCTGTGACGAAATCCCCTAATTTTGTCCACTGCCTCCCGGGGTGCAGTTCCATTGTGACGGGCGAGGAATAGCTGACCCTGCGTCCTTGATTGACTGACTGGCCTGGGCCCAAAAAACGCGACGTCGCGTTAACTCCAATTTAAGCCAAACTCCATCCTCATCACCATCTTCAAACAACGTCAATTATTTCCACCGCTGAATTGATCGCATCGCATTCGAATTCATCGCGACGAGTATTGTCAACCTTTGGTTTATTCACAGCGTAGCCCTCGACTCAAACACGATTCCTCCCCGGGCATGCCACTCGACTTTGCATAATGCGTATGATCAAGCCTTCATGGCTAAGCCATAGCGGCGAGCAAAAGGATTTCGAGGTTTACAGCTGCCATGTCTCCCCGGATGGAAAACGACTTGCGACTGCTGGCGGCGATGGACACGTCCGCGTTTGGTCGACCGAAAGTATCTACAATGCCGACACACCAAAGTACAACAAGCCGCGCCAGCTCTGCCACATGAGCCATCATCTTGGAACAATTCACTCGGTTCGCTTTTCGCCTAATGGACGTTATCTTGCCAGTGGAGCGGACGACAAAATTATTTGCGTATACCACCTGGATAAAGGGCCCCCAGCTGCCACCTTTGGCACCAACGAGCCTCCTCCTGTCGAGAACTGGAAGACATACAAACGTTTAATTGGTCACGACAATGATGTTCAGGATCTCGCCTGGTCATACGATTCTTCGATATTGGTTTCTGTTGGCCTTGATTCAAAGGTCGTCGTCTGGTCTGGTCATACGTTCGAGAAGCTGAAGACTCTGCCTGCACACCAAAGTCATGTCAAGGGTATCACCTTCGATCCTGCGAACAAATTCTTTGCAACCGCAAGCGACGACCGAACGATCAAAATCTTTCGATTTACTTCGCCTGCACCTAATGCGACACAGCACGATATGGTTAACAACTTTGTTCTTGAAACGACCATTAGCTCACCATTCAAGAGCTCGCCCCTAACTACGTACTTTCGACGATGTTCGTGGTCCCCCGACGGTAATCACATCGCAGCTGCCAACGCTGTGAACGGCCCCGTGAGTTCTGTTGCTATCATCGAGCGGACGAGATGGGATAGTGAAATCAATCTTATCGGCCATGAAGCCCCAACGGAAGTGTGCATGTTCTCCCCTCGTCTGTTTCACACGTCAAAGCCAGATGCGAGTGCAGCCGATGGGGCCGCGACATCGCTCGTGACAGTAATTGCATCAGCTGGCCAGGACAAGACTTTGAGTATATGGAACACAAATACGTCCAGGCCGGTGGTCGTGTGTCAAGACTTGGCAGGCAAGTCAATATCTGATCTAGCGTGGACTCCGGATGGACAGACCATTTTTGCGTCTAGTCTAGACGGTAGCATTGTGGTTGTAAATTTCGAGGAGGGAGAGCTCGGCTGGGTAGCGCAACCAGAGGAGAACGTCAAGGCACTTCAGAAATATGGCGCGTCGCGGAAGGGAATGGGTATAGCTGAGGACGTCGATGGCCTCATTCTGGAAAACCAGAGTAAAGAGGGAGAGTCGCGGGCTGTAGAGTCGAGGATGGGTGCACTAATGGGAGACTTTTCTGAGTCAACCAAGGAGTCAACACCTGTCGCTAATGGCCCTAAACCCAATGGCACTTCGGCGAAACCATCGACAAATGGCCAAGCTGAGCCAGAAAACGAACCAGAGAAGCAGCCAGAAGAGGCAGCTAACAAGACAGCCGAACGCGTCAAGGAATTGAAATCGCGGGTCACTATCGGCAAAGATGGCAAGAAGCGAGTTGCACCTTTGTTGGTGTCATCATCAGGGACAGGCACGTCTTCATTGCCTCAAACTCAGTTGGTTGGAACAACAAGTACCAACAAGAACACACAAAATGATACACCGCAGACAATAATTGACATGAGCAAGCCTTATGACGGCCTGCCCAAGGGAGGTATTGCCGCCATGTTGCTTGGTAACAAGAGGCAAATCAACCTGGGTGATGACGAAGATGAAGAGGAGCCGGTTGCCAAGCGTGTTGCAACAGGTCCTACACCTATCGTCACTGATGGCCCTAATGGGGTCGAGCCAGCAGCCCTCGTACCTGTTCAGAATGGCGTTGTTCCCACACCTGAGTTCCTCAGGCCCGCAGTCATGAATGTCTCTATGTCCTTCGCTCAAGTCAGATTAGCTGTACCGAAGATCAGGTCACATATTCTTCGACCGCTGGACAGAGGAGTTTTACAGGGTGAGAGCTCCTTAGAAGAAGCAACAAAGACCCCAGAAAACATAATTCTGGAAGCGAAGAATGATGCCACCCATGGCCATCCTTCGCATGTCATAGTCAGCAAAAGGGGCGCTCTTATTTGGGAAGAGTGGCTTCCCAGAGATGTGATTCTAGTAACAGCGACGAAACACTTTTGGGCAGTGGCTTGCGAAGATGGATCTGTGCATACCTGGACCTCTGCTGGAAGAAGGCTTCTCACCCCTATCATACTTGAGTCGCAGCCTGTTATCCTGGAAGCTCGTGATCACTGGCTGCTGTGCATTACAGCTGTCGGCCTTGCCCACGTTTGGGACATGAAAACCCAATCTTCTCCCAATCCTCCGGTGTCGCTTGGACCAATTCTGGATATCGCCACAATATCGCTTAACCAACACAGCGCGACGGCTGGCCCTGGTGTTACTTCTGCCCATCTCAACAGTACCGGCCACATCATTGTGACCCTGACCAATGGTGATGGCTACTGCTACGCTCGAGAGATGTATACATGGCAACGCCTAAGTGAAGCTTGGTGGGCCGTGGGCTCACAATACTGGAACTCGAACGATTCTTCCATTTCTGCTTTGCAATCTACAGCTGTTGGCCCGGATTCTAAGGACAGACAAGATAAGAAATCTTCCAAAGCCACTGTGTCGTCAGGCATCATACCTTTCCTTGAGCGACATACGACGAACGAATTTCTCCTTAAAGGTAGATCATATAGCTTACAGCGCATTATTAAGATGGTCGTGCAGCGGAAGGAGTCCGAAAATCTTGAAAGCAGTGTCAGCATTGCCCATCTGGAAACAAGAATCGCTGGTGCTCTACAACTTGAGGCACGGGAAGAATTTCGACTATATCTCTTCATGTATGCGAAGCGCTTGGGCGCCGAGGGGGCAAGGGTCAAGGTTGAAGAGCTCCTTAACAGTCTTCTTGGTGGTATACTCGAAGACAGCGAAGAGGATGAGGAAGAAGACGGCCATGGGTGGTTCAGCAAAGAAGGTGACATCTGTGGATGGGATCGAAAAGAGCTGCTCACAGGTGTAGTTATGATTCTTGGTAAGTTGTTGTTATTGAAGTCACTATGGCAAAAGTTGTACAAACTAACAGCAAACAGGAAAATACCGCGAGCTTCAGCGATTGACGCTTCAATACGCAAGAATTCTCGACATAAGTTTAGAGGATGGCTCAGTGGACGTTGAGCAAATGGATGTGGAGGCTTAAACAAAAGGCATAGTTTTAAGGTTGTATCATTATCGTAATACATGTAGTTCCTATGCGGTGGCAGGGGCGAGGACGGCGGACACTCTTTTCTGATTAACAGGCAAATATGGCGTTGAGGCTTATCTACCAGGGATCTGATGGTCCAGCGGTGCGAACTTGGGGTACAGGCAGGCGATAGACTACTGTTGGTGCCCGTTGATACGAAAGAACGCCTGATTAATGAGGGCATGCAAACACAATCATGCAGTACCATCCTGAGAGTGTATTGATTGGTGAAGTTCATGACAAGTGGTTAATGTGGGTGAGCAAAGTGATTCTCGACACACCGTTATCTTTCATCGTTCCCTCTGTAACACAACCGACTGAGATTGCTGCGGCTCATGATCACATGCCATGTTTGGTGAAGAGTGGCGTTGAGTGAAGGTGAGGAAACAGGGTGATGTTATCGTGAGTGGGCAAATGAGTGCATCACCAACACCGGTCTGTTGTTGTTTCTGGGCTTCTCCGGTCCGGATCTTTTCTTCCGGTCACTCCAGAGCCTCTGGGCAACTGCTTCTCTTCTTATCAAGCTGGTGTTTAGTGTGTTGATGAGGTAAGATACTGCACCTGCTCGCAGCTGCCACGTCCATGTCCGCCTCCACATTGAATCACCTGCCAACCTGCATCTCCTTGGTTCTTCTCGCCTGAGGATACAATAACCACAAGGTGGAGGATTATTAGTAGGTACCAATCCCCCCCAGTTTGTCTTCTCGCTTCTCTTACTTCATTCTTCTTATTCTTCATCCTTTGATTCGTTATTCTACTTCGAACCTGGAATCGAAAGCAATCACAATCACAAGCACAATCTCTTCTCTTTAGCACGTCTAGAACGTTTCATTGCTCAGCACCTAAGGTGCCTTTACACTCCTTTCATTCTCATACTCCTTTCTCAAAACCTCTTCCTCTCCGCCTTGCACTTCATCTGCCTAAGGTACTCAATAGCCTTCATCTTTACAGCCTTTAACCCTTCCGGTCCTCTCTTCGTTCAAGGCATTTGACAATTCTTCCCCTGAACGTTGAACCTTATCTCCACCTCCATCATGGCAAAAGCCCTTCGCTTCACTCTTTTGTGGGCAGGGGCCGTTGCCCTTCTTCACTTCACCCTGTTTGTGTGTGGCTCAGCCTTGCCCTCGTCTGCTGATGCCCCCCTCAAAGCAGCCTTGGTGACCCTCGTCCAGGAAGATGATATCAGTGCCACTCTCTTCAGTATTCAACAGATTGAGGACAAGTTCAACAACCGCCACTTGTACGACTGGGTTTTCTTTAGCGTCCAGGATCTTCCAGAGAGGTTCAAGGAGCTCACTTCCAACGCTACCAATGCTACTTGTATCTTCGAGGTTATTCCAGAGGAGAACTGGAACATGCCTGGTTGGACTGATCACTCCCAACTTTCGGGCTCTCACGAAATCAACTCTGACTGCAACCCAAAGACCTTTAAACCCCTCGCCGACATCCGCCAGATGAAGCGATGGAGCTCGGCCCCCTTTGCTAACGAGCGACGTCTCCGCAACTATGAATGGTTCTGGAGAGTAGAGCCAGGCGTAAGTGGTTCCCGAAACAACCACAATGATGCATCGAAAAATGATCAGGAGCTGACACAAGCAGGCATCTTTGAGCCAGGACATTCCTTTTGATGTCTTCCGTTACATGCGAGACAACGGTATTGCTTATGGCTTCAACCGAGCTGTCCTTGGCCAAGCCAACTTGTACCATCTCTCTCGCGTCAAGTCTTTCATTGACAAGCACCCAGAGCTCCTTCACGAAGAGGCTGATATCACATGGCTTATTGAAAACGGCACAGGTCTCACTATTCAGTCAAGCTCATCGGATGACAGCTATGAAGGATTGGTAGACGAGGGCAGTGACAAACTGAGGTCGCGGATCATTTAGGAGAGCCGCCCTAGTGGTCAACGCAGCTCGGACACTAATAGGTCACAGGATGAGACGGCTCACGACAGAAATACCAAGAATGAAGGGAAGGGAGCATCTTGGATTGGTGGGTCCTTTGCGACTTGGCTAAGTGAAGTTTACGGCAACAGTCTTTATCCAACGTTTGACATTGGATCCCTAGCTTTCTTCCGCAGCCCTCATCACACTGCCTTCTTCCACCACCTCGACAGTGCGGGCGACTTTCAGTATCGCCGAGTCGACAATGTCCCGGTGCACAGCTTGAGCGCGAGTATGTTCCTGCCTCGGGAGAGCGTCTGGAACTTTGGCACTAAGAATATGCAACTTCGCACCCAACTTAATATCCAGCCAACCGGAATTGGAGCTATTCCAGATGGTGATCAACGCATCGTGGACTATGAAAACACTGACTCAGGCAACAGTGTCAAGCACAAGAATGATGCTGAAGAGGAAAAGAAATCGTTTCACGAAAACTGGGAGTCAATGACACCGGACGTGAGCGAACAGTCCGAGAACCCGCACTTGATATCAGGCAATACGTGGATGGGGAAGGACGTGGCGGATGAAGCTGAAGGATGTAGTTTTTTTTGGTTTTGGGAGCAAGTTCTAGCTGGATTTTCAGGATTTGCAGGATATGGGTGGGAAACAGATTTTAGTTGTTTGCAAGATGATTGAAGGGACAACTTAGGATCAGGGTACGACATGTACAGACAATTGGGCTCACCGCCTCGCGGGTCGAGGCAGCACAAAGAGAAGATGAGGTTTGCTTTCCACATGAGATTGTTTGTGCATAAGTGAGACACCACACCATCATCAGAGCGGTGAATGTAAATGTTGTATAATGTATTACGGGGGGTGCCTTTCTTCACAGCTGAGACAGAGGAAGACGTTTTGGCTGGGCCCAAGAAAAAGGCGCTTGCGTCGGGCGGCGGTAGATGTCACACACATGGGTACAGTCGTACAGCGTCTGAGGCGCGTTTTTGACGTGAAAAATCATGGATGGATGGATGTCTTCCTACGTGGCTGGTGGTGTTACATATATGTTATCTGGAAGACGAACGATGTACGTCACTGAGCAGTGCAGAAGGGGGCAAGTTTGGTCAGATGGATGACGCAATTAAAGGATACAGTATGTGTGAAGCTGGGGATTGTCGACGTCGAAACGGATCATCTCAGTAAAGGATGTAATTCCCTGGAAGCAAATGACGTACGAAACAAAACATAGCAGGTTGGGTTTTTGTGCTTGGACGTGTTTGATGAGAAGAGCTGCGGAGTCTGTGGGGTTTGGATGACGATCGGCGCCGGTGGGATCGGAGCCGGGGAGGGGAACGACGAATTTAGTTCGAGATCCGAAGTAAGATTGATTTGGTTTGGAGATTTATGTTGAAATTGGAAGGTGATTGACCACATCGTATTTGAGCATATAGCCTCGTTTAGTAGCTGTACTAGAGGTCAAGTAGCTTATTACAACCTCGGTCTTTTCATACCGATGGTTCACGGTTTTAACATGATACTCTCTGATCATGCTAAGAAGTGAACAGGGATGCGCCTTGTTCTTCCACCGCCTGTGGATAGATTTGTCGCTTGCTATGAAACGAGGACAAGAGATAGACGGTTTGTGCATTTTACACACAGAATCTCAGACAAGATTTTCGGTTAAATCTACCGGTATCCGCCTGTTGCAAAGCTTTTTTTCTTGGTTCCTGGCATGAATCAAAAGGCACGGGTTGCTTCCTAGTGGGCAGGGATAATAAAGGGGCCGGGGCAACTTAAACAGGGGTTGTTAGAGTTAATGACTGCAACGTTGAAAATTGTAAAGGTTTATTAACGATTTATCAAAAATTAATTAATTATTGCTCTTATTGCTAAGTAAAATGCATTAAAACTTCAACCAATCCCATCTCTTAAGCATGAAGTTATCATTCCCTGCCCTGCTGAACACCAAGATGCACTTGCCCCTGATTCCTGCTCTGTCAGATCCCCGCCCACCCATACAGAGCTTGACCAGTGGGGAGGAAGATGCACCAACTGCCACATGCCTTCCTGCCTTACCTGGCTGGGCATAGAGGTCTGGGTCCTATTTTTATGACAAAAACCAACAGCAAGTAAGGCAAGGGGTTCACAGTTCACAGTTCACAGTTCCTTTGTAGGCTGGACGGCTGTGGTGCTTCCTTCCTTTGCACTACCCCAGGGTCACTGTATCCTTCCTGCCTACCTTACTTATCCTATTCTGTAAAGAACGGAGACTTCCTTTTTTGAAGGTGCTCCCCGCCTCTTTCCTCCCTTTTGTCCTTCTTCTCTTTCATTTCTTCCATAGAAACTCTTTACGAATATTCTCTCGAATTTCGAGAAGTACGAATAGCGAGCACGGACATCCCACGTCGACTGGCAGTGACGATATTGCCCAAGACATTGGCTCCCGAGCCTTGGCAGTGCGCGATTGCGATCGTGGAGGGGCCTTTGGATCTGCAACAGGAACATTTAGAATATTGATACGCGATCCGAATATTCGATATTACACCATTCTACCTTGACATACGAAAAAGAGCCCAGAAAAATTAGTGGACGTGGTTGATTGGCGCCCGAGCCATCGTAAAGAATTCGAATTTCGCCCATTGTCGCATTGTCTTCCCAGCCAGTGTCGCAAAGCCCCCATTGCGGTTTCAGAGCGCATTGGTCTCTTACTACTGGCCAATTTCTCTCGATACTACACTCCTTTTGCATCACATCGACACACTCAGCTCTTCTTTTGACTTTACAATGGCAATACTGGAGGCCTTCCCCAAGGCGGCGCCTGCTAGTCAGGGTGGCTTCCTAGGTCTGAGCAAGAAGCAGTGGGCTTTGACAACGGTATGGACTTCACGCCTGGTTTCTTGCTATGTTGTTCGGTAATATAACAATTCTTTGATTCTGGTACTGACGTGCTTTCCAGTTGACCTTTCAAAACTCAGCCCTTATCTTGGTAAGCTTTTGTCGCAATGCATCATCCTAGGCTCAGCTAACATTGCCTTCAGATCATGCACTACTCTCGCGTTATGCCTCCGAGTGGCGATCACCGCTACTTTACTTCGACCGCCGTCTTTCTGAACGAGATCATCAAGCTCGCCGTTTCGCTATCCTTAGCCATCTACGATACCTCAAAGACCTTGGCTCCTACGACACCCGCGACAGTCCTTTTCGAGCAAATCTATAACTCTGTCTTTGCAGGTGATGGGTGGAAACTCGCATTGACAGCTGCCTTCTATACCCTGCAGAATATGCTGCAGTATGTCGCTGTGGGTAACTTGGATGCGGTGCACTTTCAAGTGCTGTATCAGCTCAAGGTATGTCTCACCACCAAGTCATATTCCTCTTGGCAAAGTTAGCCTTATCAGAATACATTCTGACTTTTTTCAAAGATTCTCATCACTGCACTGTTCAGTGTTGTACTGCTGCGACGGCACTTGGGACCCAAGCGCTGGCTTGCCCTCATCGTCTTGACGCTGGGCGTATGTGTTGTGTCACTCCCTCAAGCCGGCTCATCTTCGAGCTCATCCAGCATTCCTCTCCGCCACATGACGGACCATTTCTTCCCTCGCTCGCTCCATGAGCTTGGACACGTACCCACGGACAACAGCCAGGCTGGAAATCTAGCTAAGCGATCTGCTACCTATCAAGGCATTGACCATGATTTGCCGCCTCTGGATCCTCTCATGAATTACTCGGTTGGCTTGGTCTCTGTTCTTGTCGCTGCTACGGTATCCGGCTTGACGGGTGTCTACTTCGAAAAGTTACTCAAAGAGAGTCCCACTCAAGCCAGTGTTTGGATCCGAAACGTTCAGCTAAGCTTTTACTCCATCTTTGCTGCCGGCCTTGGTGGTGTAATTTGGCAGGACGGTGAGGGAATCAGCGAGCACGGCTTTTTCGAGGGCTACAATTGGGTTGTGTGGAGTGCCGTTGTGCTCCAAGCTGCCGGTGGCATGTTGGCGAGCGTTGTAATTCGGGATACGGATAATATTGTCAAGAACTTTGCGACGAGCATCAGCATTGTCATCAGCTTCTTGATCAGCATTATGTTGTTCCAGTTCGAGATTTCAGCAACAGTAAGTTCCCTTATCGTGACCGTGACCGTGACACATGGACGTTAACACAGTCTGCAGTTTGTTATTGGCACGTTCCTGGTTCTCCTCTCTACTTGGATCTACAATGGTTCAGATAGGGCTATCCGTCGTCCTCCACCAATCCAAATCCACAGCTTCGAGAAGCCGGCTATTGAGCCTTTCCAGACCCCTCGTAATTTGGCAAATCGACTGACTGTCAATCCCATGGATAGCCCTATGGGTTTGACCACAAGTCGACCAAGCACGCCACTACTGCCCAGAACGCCAAGTCGATCCAACTTTAAGAGAGACGATTGATCTTTTCGATATAAATATCGATCAAAAAACCACCTTATGCACTCGAATACAAAATTTTGTATTCGGGATTTCATTATTATGAAGTCGAACGAAGACATGAATCGCGCATCCTTGCAGTAACATTATATATAGCCAGGATCTCATTGGTACATTTCTTGAATAGATAGAACAGCTTGCATAGCCAGTCTGGAGTGGTTAGCACTCATGCATATTCCGGTAGGTATGGTTGGCGATAGGGAAAACACCCACTTCTGAGGAGGTGCGGTATGACAGTATACCCCTGGTTATAGAAACCTGAATCTTAGATCAAGACTAGAAAGGACGGGAACGGTGTTTCCCACAAATCACAGCTTCCAAGTTGAAATTATGGTGGAGAGGCTTGGACAAAAAATTACAAGTCCATTATCGCTGTTTTACTTGCTTTACTGAATAGTCATTCCTCTTGATGTGACCTGATGGGAACCAGTTTTGTTCCCCAGATATCACTCCTATATACACCCTCCATTACGCTTTGATGGCCTCAACTTTTAAGGATATATGGCGCCTCTTTCAAAGAAGATCAAACGCAAACTTTTTGCACTAGTCTAGATTGTAGAAACGAGCTTCGTTTACATGATGACTTCGTTGGTGACATCCTATAACTCTGTTAGCGGGGTGCTCATCAGATAATTCGAGTTGGGAACTTACCCTCTTCAACTCCTTGTAGGGCAAGCAGACACAGTTCTGCACGCGGACCTCATCGCCGACACCGCAGTCCTTGCCAAGGATGGTGATGCTCTGGACCTTGACACCATTCTTGATGATGCTGGTCGAGTGGCTGCCGACAGGGGTAGGGGTACCCTCAACACGAGCCCAAGCGCCAACGCGGCTACCCCAGCCAATGATGGAGTAGAGAACGCAAGCATCGTGCTTGATCTCGCAGTCCTCGAGCACGATACTCTCCTTGACACGGGCGCCAGCGCCAATGTGAGCACGGGGGCCAATGCTCACATTGGGGCCGAGCTTAGCAGTGGGGTGCACCTCGGCTGTAGGGTGAATGAAAACAGGAGGAACGATGTTTGCGCTAGGAGTGGCAAGCTCTTCGCTGTGGTCGGATTGCGCAGCCTTTTGGAGGTAGAGAGCGTTGGCAGGGACAGCAGAGCCAGCAGTCTTGATCTGGCGCCAGAAGTCCTTGGTCTCGTAAACGTAGAACTGCTTGTTGTCGGCCATGTCAGAGAGGATATCCTGCTCCAGGCGGATAACCTCGCTCTTCTTCTCTTCGTCATCATCGTCGTCGTCAGGAAGGACGAAGCTGTTTTCGAGGTTATCGGAAGAGGGGTAGGAGACGAGACGGGAGGGTCGGTCGAGGCGGCGCTTGATGGCGGAGCGGATAGAGGGGAAGATTGCCTCGGTGGAGAAAAGGTAGACACCGCAGTTGATCAGGTTGCTGATTCGCGACTCGGGCTTCTCGACGTAATGCAGAACACGGCGGGTGTGAGAATCGGAGACAATGCAACCGAAGTTTGTCGCGGCCTCGTCGCTCACACGTGTTCCGAGGATGACAGCCTCAGCATCCTTATCGTTGAAAAGCTTAAGCATCTCGTCGAGAGGAAACGAACAGCAAACATCGGCGTTGAGAACAAAGAGACGCTCAGGGCGACCCTTGAGGATAGCATCACGGAAGTGGTAGAGACCGCCAGCGGTTCCAAGAGCCTCATACTCGCGAAGGTACTTGATAGTGATGGCGGGGAACTCCTTAGCGGAGTCCTTGATGAAGTCGCGGAAGACAGATTCGTCGTAGTAGCCAATGATGTAGACCTCCTGGATCTGCTTGTTGGGGACGCGAGCGACGGAGGAGAGACAGTGCCAGATGATGGGGTGGCCAGCGACTTCGAATAGAGGCTTAGGCACGTCGAGGGAGAGAGGGCGGAAACGAGTGCCGCGAGAAGGACCACCGACCTAGAACATATACTCTGTTAGAACGGCAAGTTTATAGAGGGGTGGGGAGGGTGAAGCTATACCAGGATAACGGCCTTTGTGGCGCCCTGGTCCTTGGTGCGATGGGCCATGGGGACGTGGAGGGACATGATTGCTGTGGTGTGATGAAGAGTGGGAATGGGAGAGAAGAGAGGGAGAAGAAGCTCGTAGAGGGAGGTGAAGTTGAGCTTGATCTTAGTGTTTTGCTGGGGGGAGTAAGTGGAGGGGACACTTTGGAGAATTGAAGGCGGTGACCAAAAAGGGAAACTGTTGATGGGCGGGAACGGTGAGGTTAGGTGGGGGTGGGTAATGCACGTGGGAATAGGGGTTCAGCTGAGTGAGGGGCTTACCCTATATTAAATAGAGATGGAAATTATTGGGACTTTGACTGATCGGAGGCTTGAGATATGGTTTGACTGGTGACGTTTGGTGATCCAGCTTTGTGCTGTTTACTCAATTGTTTCAGGAACCGAAGTGTACGCCATTGCAAGTATGATCAAGAGGTTGTATCTGACCATATCTCTGGAACCCAAATAAGCAGTGTTGGATGTAACCAGACGAGAAAGTCGAAATTATTGGCATTCAACAGCCAGGCCTCTCCACTGTGTCTATAAATGCGCGAACATAGGTTTAGAGTTATTACTCTTGCTGAGTGTTGTTGGTAGGCTGTAGAGTTCGTTGAACTTGGTGAGATATAACAGATTTAAGAGCATGATGGGTGCGAATAATACTTGTTATCATTGCTTTTTGCAGAAAACAAGTGAAAAGTCTTATCTACCTCTATTAAGCGCCGCGCTCTTTGTAAAGGACCCATATAGTCTAGGTATAGCAGAAACCAATCAACGACATCAGATGTTAATGGCCACCAACAAGCGCGCGTTTTCGGTTCAATTTTCGTATCAGGCAGTTCCACTAAAATCAAACCACCGTGAGGTGTTTCTTTTAACGTATAGATATACTGGCTGGGATGTTCAAAATTCAAAGTGATTGAAAGCATGCAAATGGGTAGCGCTTTGCCTCGGAGACAAAAAGGAGAACCAAATGGAACGGTAGCTGACCAAGAACAAGAAGATGCCAGAAGGAGAAATGGAAATTTCAAGTAATAGACATTTCACTTATAGTGATGCCATAGAAGCGAACCGATTGGTTGCTCAAGTGTTGGATATTGAACCAGGCCTGACATGATTTCGCACATCATAGATAGGCTTTGCCGCGGAAATCATGCAGGAAGATGCTCCCATTTCAATTAATGACGTTGCAGCTTATCCGAATGTTGCTTCTTGCAGGGGATCTGTGACCTGAGTAATTGAAGGAGTTGCGTGATGTCTGCAGGTTGCCAAGAAGAATCGGGAATGGATACGAACCGTTCAGTTCCTTGTTCATGACTGTGTGGAATCGATAGTTCCTCGTCAAGTGGTATTCATATATTTACGTTGGTTAATTGATACTAGTTTCGATAGTATAAAAGGACAGATTGATACTGCTTCTTCAGAATTTTCAATCGTGTCAATCTTTGCATCGTGAACCAACATTTCAAACCTCATCTTGAGATCTTCAAACTGAGTGGGTCGAGTTTTAGCTGCCGAAGATAGACCCCTGCTGGAGAGTGGATATTGATGGATTAGAATAGAAATGGACCCATTGTTAACCTCTTGGGAACTGTATGAATAGAATCAATGTCGAAGACATATCACTTTGAGAATGTGAAAACAGCTACCACATAATAGGGTGGCTGAGGCGGTGAACAGGTCAATTGAGTCAATATGCAAAAGCCCCTCCATCAATCAACCAATGCAACACTCATCAGCCGATTCCAAGCCTCCATCTCCGCACTTGCCCGCCATCTCAAGACACAACGGCTACCTTCATCCAGTCAAAAGCCTAAGACGCCCAAGTCAGGGGTACCCATCCCTGGAGATGCTACCTACCGGACTGCCGTCTGGGGAAAATCCGGGGTTCTTTTGTGTACTCGGCAAGTCCCTCCTCTGTACTGTGGCGGCTCGCAGCACGGCTTACATGCCCCCAAACAGCTTCTCCAAATACCATAATGTGACTTTGAACAAGACCTGGACAATATCAGGCATGCGCCTCGTCACGCATCAATGACGGCAAGAAATTCCCCGCAAGTAACGGTTCACCTCCTCCTCTTTTAAGAGAGATGAGTTCCCGACGCGAGTGGAGGCGTCTTCCTCCTTGATACTCACCTAAGCTCCGTTCCGTTCAGCAACTCCTTCAGATCTGCGGGTTCATTACTGACTATCAATTTTTCAATTGCTGATTATATTCATTGACTGTCAAAATGTCTCCTCTAGTCGCTCGTGTCGCTCGCTCTGCTGTCGTCCTTCGGCCTCTCCCTGCAGCCCAACGAGGACTCCGCACTTCGAGCATCCTCCGTGATTCCGAGCCGTACCAGGCGAAGCCGCCCAAACAGAACCAGAACCAGTATGGATATACGAATTGAGTTATAGCGAGCAGGACTAATACTGCATTCTTAGTAACAAAATTCTCGTCGCTGGTGCTCTCGCTATTGGCGGTGGGTTCTGGTGGTTCTACCGAGGGGGTAAGCCCATCCTCGACGCGTCTGGTGAACCCAAGGCACCTACCAAGTAAATACGATAAATGTTACGAGCATCGTCTGGGAGTTCAACTGCGAAAACGACCCAGGTGAAAAGATATGATGGCGATGGCGATGGCGACGGCGACGGCAATAAGGGCATGTGAATAGGGAGGGACCTGTCATTTCCTTTCTGGGCAGAGAGCTTCAGCCTGCAAAATTACACCTTGAATGGTGGAATGTCTTGTTGGTGAATACCCTCGACCAACATTATGCATAATATCACCTTTATTTGCGCCATGCACATATAAATCTCACTGTTTACTGCTTCGCACTGCTTTATTTGAACCTACACCTCTGAGTTGCCCACCTGCGACTTTGATGATCTTAGCATTACACATAAAATGCATCCAAATAACCCACTTCGCAATACTACCAGGCTTCTTCTAGTACATCTATATGTGAGAGACAATTGATGGCCAAGCTACCAATTGGAAGGACGAGCTCTGTCACATGCAAAAATGGATCGTCGTGGAGGTGAGGAAGGGCCACTGAAGCTCTTGCTTAAACTTTACCTCCCGTTTGATAATGGGCGCAAAAAAGGAAATTTTCACCTCAACACCGAACAAGTATCACATAACATTGAATTCACTCGAATATAAAAAAGAAGGGTCAAAAAGACTTAATCTCACTTGCCCCGTACTGGAATCGAACCAGTGATCTTATCATTACTAGTGATACGCTTTACCACTGAGCCAACGGGGCTTGTCTAGCGACATGCACAAGTTTGGAAGCTTATTCTGATGACGGTCCATCATTTACGATAATTCAGCCGAAGGCTGACTCTACATTAATTCATAAGTTTTCCCGAATAATGAGGGTTTGGTTCAGCCGAAGGCTGACTCTACATTAATTCATTCAGCCGAAGGCTGACTCTACATTAATTCATAAGTTTTCCCGAATAATGAGGGTTTGGTGCAGACAGGGATAAATAAGTTTCTCGGAATCTGATTGGTCCAGATTTTGTA